GGCCTGGCCCGGGCCTGGCGCCTTCGGCCACCCTCGTGTCACTGTCGTCCGTGTCCGACTGCAACTCCACGCGTTCGCTGCTGCGCTCCGACAGCGACGAGGCTGCGCCGGGCGCGCCCTCCCCGCCGCCCTCCCCCCCTGCGCCCACGCCCACGCCCACACCCTCACCCAACACCAACCCTCTGGTGGACCTGGAGCTGGAGAGCTTCAAGAAGGACCCACGCCAATCGCTCACGCCCACCCACGTCACGGCCGCACGCGCCGTGAGCCGTGGGCACCGGCGGACGCCATCGGACGGGGCGCTGGGACAGCGGGGGGCGCCTGAGGCTGCGGGCAACGGCCCTGGTGAGTGAGGCGGCCCACCCAGGTCCAGTGTCCCAACCTAGCCTCCAACCACCTGGTGCCAGGTGGCCTCCTGCTTGGCATGGGGAGGGGAGAGCCCCTGTGCCCCCGTGCCCCTCACTGCTGGCAGCATTGTGGGTCCCCTGTGACTGAGATCTAGGTAGCAAAGGCGAATGTCTACAGTCAGGTGACGTGAACAACAGCAGCGAGAGTCACTACAAGCCAGTAGCTGTTGAGTGGGGCTCCTGGCAATGCCTTTTGTGTCAGAGTAGAATTGTGCTCCACAGGGTTTTCAATGCTTATTTTTCAGAAGTAGATTACCAGGCCTTTCTTCTGAGGCACCTCTGAGTGAACTCCGACCTCCAACCTTTTCATTAGCAGTTGAGCACATTTACCATTTGCACCACCGGGGGACTCCATAATCACTACAGCTAACACGTAACACCCATGATGTGCTAATAAGTGCTGTTCTATATACTTTACATCGGGGCTTCTAACTGGTTCATACTGGTTCAGTCATGGCTGAGGAAGTGAAACCAGAACCAAAAACAGGCAAGCCAAACCCCTTGCCTTCAAGTTGATTCGGACTCATAGCAACCCTACAGGACAGGGCAGAACTGCCCCCATAGGGTTTCCAAGGTCTGGCTGCTGGATTCAGACTGCTGACCTTTTGGTTAGCAGCTGAGCTCTTAACCACTGTGCCACCAGGGCTCCAAAACCAGAACAGACCTCAGTTTTTACGTCTGGGTGATCCGGAACGTAAATGGAACTGGAAAAATTACAGGTTGAAGCCCTGGTATGCGAGACTCGGAAATGGCATAGTGAGCCCTTTGAGGAGCCTAACGCATGTGATTGGATTATTGGCCAGACTGGGGAGAGTGACACACATTCAAAGAGGCCCCGTCAGCGGCCATCTGTGAGTGGGCCACCACTGTTCGTGCCTCTGCTCAAAATCCAACGGGCAAGAGATTTGGTTGCTATGCAACACGAACGCTGCCCTTGTTTTCTAAGAGGGAGATTAAGTTTCTAGCAGGGCCTTGACCTGTAATTTTTCCCATTCCAGTTCACCCAAATTCTGAAACTTCAAGTCCGTTCCAGTGTTGCTTCCTCCGCCATGACTTAACCAGAAGAATGGGTTTGAAGCCCTGCTTTACACTTATTAACAGCAACACAGATGATAATAGATAAGATTTACTAAGTACCTACTATCGGACACTGTGCTACGTGTCTTAGATGCGTTATTATTGTTGTTTAATCCTTACCTTTGCAGTAAGGTGCTATTATTATCCCCCTACAGAGACAGTGCCATGCCTGAGGTATATATATATGGTATACCTTGGTATCTGTACCTTGGTGTATAGACTGTAGGTATATATGTGTGAACTAGCCTAGTGTGAGACAGTCGGGAGCGATGAGAGCTTTAGCTAAAGGGGCAACAAGAAAACAGGCTCCGAAAGGTTAAGGAACTTGCCCAGAGTCACACCTAGATGAGTGAGCCATTGGGAGTGGTCGGGGCTTAGCTAAAGGCCCCACCACTGATAGGCTCCAGATGGCTGTTGCCTTGCTGGAAAGCAGGCCCAGCAAGATCAGCGGATCTTTCCAGAGAAACCCCAAATCCTGATCTTCATGTGACGCCTCTGCCCACCCCCGCCCCCCTCACCTCATTTGATTCTCTCTTCCCAGGCCCTCGAGACCCCCTGGACTTCCCCCGCCTGCCTGACCCCCAGGCTTTGTTCCCGACCCGCCGCCGGCCCCCTGAGTTCCCCGGCCGCCCCACCACCCTGACCTTTGCCCCGCGCCCCCGGCCGGCCGCCAGCCGCCCCCGCCTGGACCCGTGGAAACTGGTCTCCTTTGGCCGGACGCTCAGCATCTCACCTCCCAGCAGGCCAGACACTCCAGAGAGCCCTGGGCCCCCTGGCATGCGGCCCACACTGCTCGACATGGACATGGAGGGGCAGAGCCAGGACAGCACCGTGCCCCTGTGTGGGAGCCATGGCGCCCACTGAGGCCTGCCCGCCATGCCCTGCTGGGCAGCCATGAATGTAGCGCCCCAGGCCCCGCCCCAGCCCACCACGCCACAGGCTGGGGAGGCCCTGGGCAAGATACTCATTCTATTTATTGGGGAAGGGGGGAGGGGGCCACTTAATTTATTCCTTTGTACCTGCAGCAAGGGGGGGAAGGGTGGGCAGGGATACTCAGGGACAGGGCATCATGGGAATTTGGCACAAAATGCAGCATTAAAGGTGACCCCTGCCCCCTACTGCACTTGGCTGTGTGTCTGTCCCCAGCCCAAGCCCTGATGCTGGGTTATTCCCAATGGGCATCCCCCAGCCCACTCTCCTTCCATCGGCCTCTCTGAGTGTCTGAGGCTCAGGCCCATGTGCCCTCCCTGGCCCCCACAAGGACACCACACAAAAACGTTATGGTCACCAGTGACGAGTGCTTTACCATGGAACACGGGTGGGGGCAGTAACGTGAGGTGGGGGTGGGGATAGGGACGGTTCCCCCGGGGTGGCCTCAGCCAGTCACATCCCGAGTCCGGGCCCCAGCCCCACTGTCTTCCCGCTGGAGGCCGCACCGGTTCATCTTCAGCTGAGTCAGCTGGATGTAGCGGAGGACATTGGTGTCTGCAGGGGAGGTTGATGGGTTATCTGGTGTCCTGGGGTAGCAAGTGACATCTGCACCACCTCCGCTCACACCCCACTGTCCCCAGGCTTCAGTGACTCCCCAGAGCCCTCCCTCCACCTGGCCTCCAACCTCACACCCCTTCTCCCTCTGTACACCGTGCCTCACACAATCTGTGTCACCAGAGCCCCTGCCGGGAAGCCCAGCCACAGTGAGCAGAGCAGACGCTCCACACCGCCATGCCTTTGCCCTCGCTCCACCCTCGCCAGGAATGCCTCCTGTCACACACACACGTCCACCCGTCCTCCTCTACACCTGCAAGAACCTGCTCTCTCTAAACCACAGAACTGGAAGACATACCCTGCTTTTTTGCTCCTACAAACTCGAGTATTGTGTTTATCTGCCTGCGCACACAGACACACACACACACACACACACACACACACACACACACACACACACACACACACACGCACTGCCTGTGATCTCCCAGAAGGCAGGAACAGGCTCCGCCTCCCCACCCCCAAATTCCTGGCATTGCCTCCCTGGGGTCTGCCACCAGCAAGTGCCCACCAGTGGTGGCTGGGTGAACGTGAGTGCAAATGGAACAGTGAGTGAGCAAGTGAACGGGGACAGTGAATGGAGAGGAGGTCACGTGGGTGGACAGGTAACTGGCTGGGCAGGCAAATGGTAGGCATGGTGGCTGGGTCAGGGACTGAATGGATGAGGGTGGCCGGGTTAGGGTTAGGAGAACGCTGGTGAGCGGACAGGCTGGTGGAGGGATGGATGGATGAACGAATGGCGGTGAGTAGGTGGATGCAGATGGGAAGCTGGCTGGGTGGTTCAGCACTTTCTCGAAGAAGTTCTGTGTCAGGACGCTTCTGCTTCACTGCCCTCATCCCCCCGCCCCCATACTTTATTAAGTACCTACTATCAGGCACTGGGCTACATGTTTGAGATACATTACTACTATCAGTATTTCATTTAATCCTCATCTACTGTAGTAATAGCAAGGTACTATTATTACCCCCCTCCAGAGAGAGTCCTCGTCCTTGTACTCTCTGCTCTGGCTCCTTTCCCTGCCTGAACCCATCCCTCAGCCCCGCCCTCGCCCCGCCCCTCACCTGTGGGCTCTCGGCTGCGGGCCTCCTGCAGGTAGCGCAGCGCGCGTGGGTAGTCACCCAGGTGGTAGAAGGCAATGCCAGCGCGGTAGGTGGCCTTGAAGTTGCCCTGCTGCTTCTCCAGCACCTTGAGACAGTATTCGCGCACGCGCTCATAGTTCACCAGCTCCGACTGCAGCAGGCAAGCTGCGGGGACACCGGCCAGGACTCTCAGAGTCTATTGGCATCCCCAAACTCTGCCTGAACTCGAGGAGCCTGGCTCCTATCCTGCAGGGAACCCCTACCCTACGCCCGGCCCAAGGGCTTGCTCAGACCAGCAGAGGGCGCCAATCTGCTGACCAATCAGAATAGTCTCAATCTGCTCCGCCGCCAGAGGGCGCCAAAAACACGGCCAAGCGCGCTCAGGCCACTAGCTGAGCGGTTTCGGGCGCCGCGAGTGTTAAGCGCAGAGGTGACTGACGGAGCCGTGAATGACTCACCCAGGGTAGGCTTTTCTCACCTTAGATTTGCGGGTGGCAGCGGAGGAAAGAGTGACTCAGAGGACGTGGGTCCTGAAGACCCAGCCTGCAGCTCATTTGCTGCACCCAGCCCCTCCATCAGGAGACTCCTGTGACCCCCTGCACCCTCAAGCCCTCTCCCCACACAGTCCACAGCCCTGGCCCCTTCAAGCCCCCAGCCCCCTCCGCACCTGCCCCCTCTACGCCCCCCGACGGCGCCGTACCGGTGAGACAGTCATAACACTCCACCTCCGTGTTCTCCACCAGGCGCCGCTGCTCCTCGC